TGGTGTGGGTCTTCCGGGCTGTGTGGCCGTGTTCTTGAAGTTTTGTTTCCTAACGTTTCGCCAGCACCTGTGACCAGCATTGAGTATACCGCATTTGCTGGCTAGGGAATTTTGGGAGTTGAAGTCCACTCATCTTAAAGTGGCCAAGTTTGGACAACACTGTCCTAAAGGCAGTAATTGTATTCAAGTAATGCAGGTTCATTTATCAAACAAATATAAAAAAAACAGCAAAAACAAATTAATAAATCAGCACTCACGATCCAAGTTTTGCATATGGAGTTTTCAGAAAATATGAAGCACTGGGCTTGGTGATGTATTTAGATGAGCGTTGCTGTGTGAATGCCAGCACATTCATCAAATTCTTTGCTGTGTCACTATTCTGGAACTGAAGATAATTCTGGGAAATAATATGTGACCAATAAGCATTGTAACCATTTGCGGGATGCTAGACTAACAATTTATATTAGATGTAAATGACCATTTCTCATTTTGCAGAGACATCATTGCAATGAAGAGGCCTGGCATGACATTGGCACAGCTAACGCTATACTCAGAGTGTTGATTTTATATATAGAAGAGGTTATTTCACACATGGTACTAGTTTCTTGAATTGTGTGCTAACTGGAGAAGTTTTCCAGGAATTATTTTTTTAAAAATCTGCTCTCTAGTTTGTCAATTAAATACCAGCGCAGTGCTCATTCATGTTGTAGATGTTGCTACAATAGTTTGACTGGTATACAATGGGTGGTAAGAACAGTGGGGGAAGAGAATAAGGGAAAGTGGGCCTTTTTAGTGCCAATTTTCCCAGCACCAGAAAGACTTGTTTCCCCCCACAGATTTGGGGTTGAAGGCTGCTCTTCCTGCTCCCTTCCCATAGAGGGGAGGAAGTGGGGTGGAAGATGCCTCTGTGTAGTAAATCTGCCCACAGTTAATGACAGAATAGTAGTTTCACCATGGGGCTGCTCTGATGAAGCTGATTGGGTATCCTTGCAGGGTTGATGACAGAACCAGCAATAATGCAAAGAAACCATGGGTAGCTTCACTGTCGAGCTGCTGGCACCAGAACCAAGGCTCTTACGCCAATATTCCTGGAGGAAAAATTTTTATAAGCATATCCAACAGTCTATCAGCAGACCATTGGACCCCTAAAGACCCGCTTCCCCTCATTTTCTTCCCTAAGAAGAATGGAGAGGAATGGTTCCATTACAATTCTCCCATCTCACAAAAATTAGAGAAGAGATAGAACTCTCTTCTCCCTTTAGCATGTGTTTTTGGTGCCAGGAGAAACCATGGTTGGCAAGAGAAGTTAGAGATGGCTTTTTGCCACAACGGGAGACTGTGAATGGCCCTGAAAACCAGTGGCCAGAGTTGGGGAGTTTGTGCCTGTAGAAACCTCAGGTAGCCAGTAGGTGCGGGGCAGGCCCCCAATGCTAAACTATTCACTGCAGACTTTTCACTAAGCTTAGCTTGTCCAAGCAGCAATGGAAAACCACCACTTTTGCACTGGAGCAAGAAACTACAAGCAGAGGCTGCCTTCACAGTGGATCAGGACAGGTTGAGGAACAGATGCATTGTTGTCCTCAAGAAACACCAAGTAGGCCATCCTTGAACAACTGCTAACGTGGGTTTTCGGGGTCCAATTCTCATGGCACCTCAAAGACCTACTTCTCCACCGAATGTATGGTATAATTGCCTGCTAAATCTGTATGGCTTAGGTACTGACATATGTCCAATGGTCTGCTGATAGACTGTTGGATATGCTAACATGCTGCTTAGAGTATATTCCTACTAATGGGGAAAAACCGTGGCTCTAATCTACTAAATATTAGACCTCCTCAGACTCTCAGGTTTCATTTTATAGCCAATACAGTTGCTGGGAAAAGCTGGGGAAAATCTCAGAAACCGGTGAGGAATAGACAAAGCTATCAATTCTCTCAGCAAGCAAAATTGTCACTGCGAACTGCTTCACTTTCTGTGTGGGTCCTTTCCTTTTTCTCTTTTCTCCATCAGCAATCTTCATTTCTCTCCCTCTTCTGAATCCCTTTAGTCCAGCAAATCTTGCCCAACTATATTCAAAGCTGTAATTTTAGTCAGAATAAATTCTAAATTTATAAAGGAATAAAACATACAGCAAGGTCAAAGTCCAGGCCGTTCTGCATGTATGCCAATGTCGCATGTACATGCAAAAGGGGAAGAGTTTGATCATGCTGTGGCAACCACCATCATGCCTGTTTTGACCCCCCTTGCACACACCACTGAGTAGAGGTTACATCTGAACACACAAAAGATGTCCAATCCTGATAATCCCCAGCAAACAATGCCTAAATTGTAATCATGTATTTGCTTCTTGCCATGCATGTTTAGATCCAAAATGAATTACCATTGTCCACTGAGGAACTTCTAAATAAACTCCTCTTTCTGTATAACTGATATTCTTTTCAACTGCTTTGGCCACTTCAGAAGTTATCTTCCTGTGGTGCTGAGTTCTGGATTTTTTAAACCTATTGAAATAGGATATAATAAGTAGAAAGTTTCCTTATAGGAAGATAAAAATGGGATAAGCATGGGGCTGACTAATTTTACATCAGGGACAGCAATAAATATTTTAATGAAGCAAAAAATCAAATCTTTTAGTTACAAAATAACAAAGGTTTTTCCTTAGTAATTTTCTGAATTTGGCCTGGGATTGTTCTTAAATACTTCTATCCCAAGTTTATATTTAATTTAAATACTCATTCCCTTGTTGTCTCTGGAATTCTTCACACGGGGGACTTTAGTATTTTAGTATGTTTTAAAAAATAAAGAATTCTTGATTATAAAGTTTATACCAGTCCTTTATGAAAAAGAAGTTTAAGCTGATGACTTTCCACAAGTTGTCTCCTGTAGCCGAAACTGTGCTGACTGTGCAATCTTTGGCACCAGTATTAGTTTTATACAAATTTTAATGAAATGATGTATTTATATTATGCTTTATTAAATATTATTGATGTTTTGTGTATTACTAACATAGGTAGTCCTTGCTTAACGACCATTCAATGACAGTTCAAAGTTACAATGGCCTCAGAAAAAGTCCTTTACGACCTGTACTCACACTTGTTGCAAACTATTGTACCACCCCCTGCGATCACGTGATCACAATTTGCGAGCTTTTTATGATAGTCATTAAACTAATCACTGTGGTTGTTAAGTGAATCACATAGTTGTTAAGTGACTCACATGGTCATTAAGTGAATTCTGGCAAAAACATCCATTGAGGAAGCTGGATTCACTTAATGACCATGTGATTCACTTAACAAACACATGATTCACTTAACAACCACAGTGATTTGCTTAAAACTGTCGTAAAATTGGGTCCGGTCACATGGTGTCTCACTTAACGACTGCCCCACTTAATGACCAATTTTCCGGTCCCTATTGTGGTTGTTAAGCAAGGACCACCTGTATCCACATTATGAATATTTGTAAACCACCTAGAGACCATTTTGGGCTGAGGTGGTGGATAAATTGCATAAATAAAATAATATGTGAGCAACCTCTTTTTTCTGCTGTATGCTTCTAACATTGCCTTAAATACATCTTGTTTAAAGATAGAAAATATAACAATTTGAAACGAAACATGAAACAGGATTGGCGTAAATGTATCACATCTCCCTGGAGAACAACTGCAATTGCAATAGTGATGTTTTGGAAGTAGTTCCAAAAATGAATAAAGAAGTGTTATTGGGTTTTGCATAGCTATGGGAACCTCTCTGTTGCCAAGTCATAACCAGAAAACGAAACTATGTGGTCTTAATTTCCCACAATTAAAGAAAGTAATATAAATCTTGGAGTTTATTCAGGCCATTAGTTAAACTAGATTAATTAATGTACTTACATCAGAAAGTTTCTCTGTTCACACCGTATATACAAAGGATTCTCAGGAATAAAGCAATCACTGAAGAAAATATTAATAGAACATTAATTGTAATTAATATGTTTCAACTCTTGCCCGACAGTATCATCCTCATAACTCCCCATACAGATAGTCCTTGTTGAGCGACTACCTCATTTAGCAAACATTCACAGTTACGACAGTGATAAAAAAGTAACTTTACAACCAATCCTTGCATTTATGACCTTCGCAGGTCTGTAAAGCAAAGGAAAGCTGAAGTAAGATCCTAAGTCACAGTTTCACTTAGCAACCGCTTTGCTTAACAACCAAGTTGCCAGTCCCAGTTGTGGTTCTAAAGGAGGACCACCTGTATTTTTTAGCTTCTTAATAATAATCTGCAGGTTAAAATTAAAGATAAAATCTAACAAGCAACAGTGAAATACACATTACTATACTGTCCACATTTTGATTCACAATTTGCTTGAATCAAGGTTCTGAGGAAAAGTGCACTTTTCTAGGTAATATCTCTTTTTTGAAACAATATATCTTTTTCCAGGAATGACCATTTGGAAATATTTAACTAGTACCTCACCTAGTCCCATAGTTTAACATCCAACTGGTTAATTGTAAAATATTATTCGATGAGAATGCCATATCATCCACTCCACCAAGGAAATAGTCATAAAACTTGTCCACTAAAAATGGGGACTTCTTGGCATATATGGGGTAAAGCTGTGAAGAATAAGATGCAATTTAATTAGTAGGTTGTATATTTCAAGAGTAGCACCCAACAATCCAGCTTTTTCAGGAAAATATACTTGCCTTGGCAACAGAGATGAGCTCGCCACATCTATGGAAGCAATTATTTATAATTTACTATTATTATAGAACTTTTCAGTGCAGAAAAAAATGCTTCTCGTATTTTTTTTCATTTTGTATACTGCCTTTAACAACACCATAAAGACACAGTTGGTATTTCAAAATTCATAGAATTCATATATAATTTAAATCATTGCTAGTAATGTTTTTATTAAGAAGGCAATGAACCAATTCAAATTAAAACGTTCTGAATGAAGTACAGGTCACTGTGAGACAAATCACAATGAGTGTCACACTCGTGCTCTTCCTGCTCCCTGTTATATTTTTTCATTATATCTTTCCTATGCTAGTTATTAACACCTTAATAACTGGCACAGGAAGGATATAATGAAAAGAAATAACAGCCATTATCTTAAGATAATTATGTTCTTAAAATGAAAAAATCAAACTATAAGACAAAAGGAATACTTTAGCTCATCTACTAAAATGATCACTTTAAGTATTTCACTATGGAAGACACTCATCAAATGAGTGATGCCCCCTCCCAACACACACAGTGGAGAATGTGTCTTGCTTGTAGCCACTTTTCTTGATATGTATATATTTTATTTCGTATGTATGTCAATCCTTTCATAGCCTTATTTAAGCTTTTAGATGTATTTTATCAGATAAAATGACCAAACTAGTTATCATCCATCACCCTTATTGGAGATCTGCTTCCAAAATATAAAAGCATCTCCATGGTAAGACTTCTCTCTTTTACACCTGATCTTCTCCAACTTTCACCATATACCAGTGTTTCTTTTACCCTTGCTTGACCAATTCAGCAATAATTAACAAACTCTCCTCATTTGTTTATGAAATGAAACTTTTACTCTGACTTACAATTCAAGAAGTTGCAAGTATGTGCAGTCAACAATAGTATTTTCAGTTATCACCTTCTTTCCATAATAATCCTCATAGATTGACAGTAAATCTTTAACAGGTACATACCTAAAAGTATTAATATCAGAACTTTGACTGAAGCCAACAAAAATGCACTGGCATAATAAAATATATAAACGAATTATTTCCTCTGCCATCCAAATTCCTTGATAAATATTGGAAATGGTATAGCAACAGAACACTAATCAATCAATATGTCAGCAATATGTAACTGGTAAAATGATGCCGCTTAGGTATAGAGCACAGGTTTTGTATTCAAAAGATCTTAGGTTAAATCCTTGACTTCTCCAGGACTGACAGTTTAAGCTCCTGGAGGAAAGACTGAATAGAAATCTAATAAACAAACATAAATTAAAACATTATTAATATAGACAAGACTCTGCTCTATAATACAATACTCGGAGTTACAGTAAACTAGATACTTAAACTGCACATCATGATGCCCAATTTTCTAGCTTTATTTTTTTGGATGTAAATATAGTGTGGTCTGATCTTAGAACATCCTAATTCTTCCCCTGGTTTCCAGTTTTTTAAAATAGAAACATTCAACAACCTATGAACAGGGCTTTAAAGATTGTTAAGCGTAAAGTTGAGCCCAAGTAAGCAACTGGAAAACAGTGTAGATTTCTCAGTGTAGGTTTCATACGTTCTCCATACCTGTCAATGTTTAATAGCCTAGTTGCCACAATTTGTACCAACTGCATCTTTGTTAAGATAACCCCAAATAGAGTGCATTAAAGTAGTCAGGGCAGAATGTAATTAAGGTATGGATAATCAGAAGACCCATCTAGCTTTATATAAGGCTGCAGTGTACGTGCTAGTGAACTAAACACGTCACCCTTGATACCTCTCATTCAGCACAACATTAGAGTCTAATTCACAATGGTTCCTGAGCACCTGACTAGCTGAGAAGAAAAAAATAACAGATATTAGTAATTGTTTCTCTCTTACCCTCCCTCTGCAATTTGCAACACTATATGCATGTGTGTATCAATGTCCATGTGCATCAAATATCAACAATTTCATTTGTGGCTCTTACCAGCTTGATTTCAAATAATCAAAATTAAGTTCAAATTGGCTTAACACATCTCCTCCTAAAATGAGAATGAAAGGAGCGTATGTCATCAATTTACTTTAACCAAAAAAATAAAGACGTGCCATCATTTTGAAGCTTTATGAATATAATCCATAACATCATGTGATTTAACCTGACGCAATCTTCACAGGACAACCATTCATCTCTGCATGGAGCCCAAGGAGATATGACATATTGTGAGCACTGCAATAATATTGGGTAGGAAGTCACATGGGCCTTTCCTATAAGAGTAGTAGCCATTCTATGTGGATTGTCTTTTTCTTTCTCTCTGTCACACACACATTGCAACAGATGTTCTACGGCCATAATGGGACAGCGTCAAAGGAATTGGAATGCCAATGAAAGCCTTTGAAATGTCAGCCCTTGTGCATCAAGGATCAAATTGCTTATGAAACTCAAAGACATTTCAAAAAAGGTTGTGATGCATCACGGGAATCTGCAATTTTAGAAAATCACACTGGTTATATGCAGACTTGTGGATAACAGTTAGAGTATCGCCTCAGATTGTATCCATAATTTACAATTTCATTAAAAATATATCTCATATGGGAAACAGCAACTGATACATATTGAATATCAAGTTGCTCTAGAGATAGGGGAAACCCAAACAGAGAATGCCTATGGTATATATGTACAACAATAACAAACATACTCATACACACACTTGTCAAATAAAATTACAAAATGCCATCTCCAGAGTCTAAGAATCTTGAAGCATTCAAAGGAAATTTAGGGAGAGTTTTCTAAGATTTATAAGTACATAAATTACCAAAATCACCAGCAGAATGAGCTTCTGAATATGACCCATGAAAATCAATCTAAATAAAAAAGGAACAAAAGTATTTATAATTCACTATTTCCTTAACAACTAGACTAAACTTAAGATGCTTTTTTTTTCATTTCCCCCTTTTTTAACTAATCCAGTTTATAGAGATGAAACACTCCTTCATGGCTTTCTTCCCTGCCCATGTATACAGGAACTCCCTACCAGTAATTTGTTGTCAGCTGGTTGCAAAAACCCCTTGTGTTTCTTGTTTCTCTTCTAGCTATCCTCAGAACTGCCCAAGTGTTTTAATTCAGCCCCAGCATATAAACAGCTCTATAGTTATAGCCTTCAGCCATAAAAAGCTAAAAAAAAAAAAACCCAATAGGCAAACACTTTTTGCAATAAACTATATAAATGCTTTAAAACAGCAACATGTGGGTATTCAAAGACATGTTTGAAACATTATTCATTAGAAATACAGTGGTACCTCTACTTACGATCGACATACGAAAATTTCGAGATACGACCAGCTCCGGCACCAAAAATTTGCCTCTACTTATGAACTTGCCTCG